CCGATAAGGCTTTAAATTGATATATTATACGCTTAATTTGGATAATTGTAGCCCCACTTCTGAACCATTCCTTTTATCATCATACACATTTTAGTTTCCCCTGTTTCTCGATTTCTACTAAACAATCAGTAATAAATTTGTCATAACTTGCTCAATAAAACTTCAATTGATGAGAGGTTTGAATATTTAGAAACTAGACATATGCTCTTTAATTTGATATATTATATGCTCAATTTGGATAAATGTAGCCCCATAACTTACTCAATAAAAATCCAATTGATGAGCAGTTTGAATCCTTGGAAACTAGAAAGATAGAGATGTAATTTGATATATTATACGATGAATTAGGATAACTATAGACTTGCTGCCAAACCATTTATTTTATCATCACACAAATAAAAAAAAAAATCAATTTTAGTGATGACAAATGAAAACTAATATTGATATGTAGTTTTAATTGTATTTGTTCTATCTCTTTTTGTTGATTTTTGGATTGATTTTGTTGTTTGATTTGTGGGTTTTGTGGGTTTTACAATTATCGTCTTTCTTTAGGATGCTATCATCAGATGCTTTTTTTGCTATAAGTGGTGGTCAATTCTAATTGCAACAAATAGATTTGTGTCATAGGACATTTATCTTCATGGCTTCTTCAATGCTTCAATTAAGTTGCCTTCAGATTGTACTGTTGGAGTTGTTGTTGCTTTCTATGTGAGTTCTTTTCTCAACATTCTTAATTTTTTTTTTTTAATTTCTAAAATAATAATAATAATAATAATTCATTTTCTCTTCTCAACAATGGCTCTGCAAGTCTCTTGCTTAAAAGTTCACATTTTTCAACAAGGTTTCTCTTTTTCTGATTTATTTATAGACTTATCAATAATACCCAGTGGGTTATCTTGCAATTTTTTTGGCTTTTCTTGACAAAGGTTTAAACTTTAGTTGCAGATTTCAAATGGTGGCATATTTGAGAAGAACCATGATGATATAGACTTTGAGTTCAATTTGTGGATATTTTATTTATTGATTTTTTAATTATCAATTTAATATAAAATGAACTTCAATATAGAAAATATATATTTAAAACACAAAAAACCAATAATAATGTAAAATAAAAAATACTCGAGCAATGCAACTTGAAAATGAATATAAGTTACAGAAATTGGAGAAAGTCAGTATAAATTTTAAGTTTAAATAGTTTATCTTGATAACATTAAATGATCTTAAATATTATAAATGATTCACTACAAAATATTGACATCAAATATCAAAGACATGTCTATAAAAATAATATCAATTGTACAAGATGATGATCTTGAAAATATAATTAGACCATATAATGTGCATGTGATATTCTTAAGTTGGATGAATGATTTAATGACATCTACCTATAATTGATATTAATAATTATACAGATACAATTATTAATTTTATCTTAACACAACTTTGTATATATATAAAATTTATATTTACTTTAAAATTTGTATAATTTAACAATTATTATATCTTAATCTAATTTGTTTATTTTGTTAGAATAAATTTGTTTATAATCTATTTCAAAAACATTGAATAAACTAGAGGTGAGCATTTGGGACTAGGCCCAAAAACCCAGTCCCAAAACCCGGTCCTAGGAGGCTGGTCCCAAAACGGGACCAGACCTAAAGAGGAGGGCCCAGGCCCTCCATTGGACCCTCCGATCCCAGGCCTAGGCCCAATTTTTTTTATTTTTTCAATATAGTCCTTATCAAATTACATAAAACCCCCTATCAATTTTAAAATAAACATAAAATATGAGGGCTAAACTGAAATTTTACAAAATTTATTAAAAATTTAAAATAAGTAAATAACCGTTGGCTGCTGCAGGCCACGGTTATCTTTTTATTTTTAACCGTTGGCTGGCAATGGTCACAGCCAACGGTTATAAGTTATAATATAAATTATAACTTTTTTTTTTCATTCCTCTATCCCCGCCACCCCGCGCCCCCCCCCCCCCCCCAAAAAAAAAAACTACTCTACAATAACCCTAAAATCTTTCATTTTTTCCACACCAATCAATCTCTCAATCTCTCTACTCTAAATCTCCAATCAATTTCTCATTCAATTATATTTTAATTTATAATTTATTCATATTATTTATTTGTATTATTCAATTTTTTTTCTATTTTTCAATATCATCATAATTTCATATTATTATTTAATTTCTTTTCATTTTAATTATTTATTATTTTATCATAAATTTATAATGGCTTCCCCAAATCAATTTTACGTTCCATCCACCGAAGAAATGGAAGGCTTCAATCCATTTTCACCATTTCCTTCAGAGGAAGCAACTGCAATTCCACAACCACATTCGGTCGGGACGAGGTGTAGGCCAACACATGCGAGCTGCGAGTCAACGGGCACGGGCATAGCCTAACCCCCCCGACCTTCAAAGAGTGTCGTGTCCGATGTATGATGATACTTCACCAAATCAAAACGGCCAAAGACAAATGGGGAGGGGGAAGAATCGTGTGAGATATATAATTTTTGTGGAACCATTATTGGCACTGAGAAGGGGACTTCGACGATTCGACGACACGTGGAGAAGAAGCACCCCCAAATAATGCAGTTGCCCGATGCATCTTCAAGCGGATCAGGTAGACAAATTCAAACTCAACTTAATTTTAATCCACAATCCTCAACTCTCTCAACATGGCAATACAATGCACATGTTGCACGAGAGGAAATAGCAAGATATATAGTTGCTACAGACTCTCCCATTTGTTTATCTGAAAATCATTTTTTTATTCATATGGTTAAAACTGCATTTTGTCCAGCATATACTGCTGTTAGTAGAAGTACAAGTAAAAGAGATATACTAAAACTTTATAACAAAATAAATAATAAACTTAAAAACGAATTTCAAAATTTTAGGAATATATCTATTGCACTTACATCAGACATATGGGCTTGTAGATCAAAAACCTATTTTTTAACTATCATAGTACATTTCTTAGATCATAATTGAGGTTTACAACAAAAATTGATAGGTTTTAAACCATTATATGAAAAACATAGTGCTGAAATTATTTATTTTACAATTTTTAAAGTTTTGCAAGAATATTTATTAACTGATAGAGTTGTAGAGCTAACGCTTGATAATGCAGCTGCTAACACAGCGACAATCTCTTTATTTGAAAAGAAATTGGATCCGCGTGGTGAAGACAAATTTTTTCACCAGGGTTGTGCTTGCCACATCATCAATTTGATAGTTAAAGCAGGTTTAGATGCTATACATTCGAAGATGGAGAGGGTACGCAGAGCTATCAGATTTATTGTCAGCGGTAGCAATAAAAGATGGTATGAGTATGTCAAATATTGTAAGCAATAGGACCCACCAGTTCAACCTTTGAAATTATGTACAGATATGTTTATCCGTTGGAACTCCACCTACCTGATGTTGGAAAAAACTTTGCCAACGGCGAAACAAATTACATATTTCGTCAACCGGAAGAACCATCCAGAGGAAGTTGTCAGCTATGATGATTGGGCGGTTTGTGAACTTTTTTATTCATTTCTTCAAATTTTTTATGATGCTACTAATACTTTAAGTGGTATTTATTATCCAACTACTAATTTAGTGTTAGATATTTCACTTCAAATTTCTAAAACTTTTGCTCAATATAGATATAATAACATTTTAAGTGAAATTGTTTCAAAGATGGAAGAAAAATATGAGAGATATTGGTTAGATATTCCATTATTATATGGATTAGGCCTTGTTCTAGATCCTAGGTTTAAATTACACGTAGTTAACTGTATAATTACTGAGATAGGCCATCATTTAGGATATGATTATACATCTTATTTGACTAACTTTAAACAAAAATTGGATAGCCTTTTTTCTTTATATGAGAACAGGTACAGTAGAAGTGGAAGTGGAACGTTCAGGAGAGAAGATCCGGACCTTAATGTAGCCCTCTGTCAAGGATCGAGCAAGTGGACGTATGTGGAACGTGGCGGAAGTAGCAGCTCCAGCTTATACATACATGGACCAAATGAGTTGAATCGTTACCTACAAGTGGACCTGTCCTATATGACGATGAAGGAGCAACATGATATGGATATTCTTCAGTGGTGGAACCAACATGAAAATCGATTCCCCATTGTAGCCCAAATGGCACGTGACATTTTATCTGTGCCGGTTTCTACAATTGCATCCGAGTCAACATTTTTAACGAGTGGTCGGATTGTTGAAGACATAAGATGTTCTTTAACCGATTAGATGATTAAAGTGATAACGTGTTTATGAGATTGGACTCATACAGAAAGAAGACTACAATAGCACCCTGAAGATCCCTAACTACTCGAACTCTTTAGGAATACTGATTTGAATGATGTAAATATTGTTGACGATGAAAATGAATAATTTAATTAAAAAAATATTTAATTGTTTATTTGTGAAACATGAATGTGTGAAACGTGAATTTATGTTAAAAATAAAATTAACTATTAATTAATTTATTAATTTTTAAAATTAATTAAATTTTTAAAAACTTACTAATCTACCCTTAAAAAATACTAAAAACCCCCTATAAAATTTCGTTTCGCCTCCAAAATATAAAAAAAGATCAGGGGGGAAAAGAAATTGTCCAGACCCATAGGATAGGTCGTGGGCTGATAGGACCTGTCCGGGTCCTTATTTTGCTCATGGGCATGGGCCCGGTCCCATGCCCATGAAATGGGACCAGTCCCAAACGGGCCCGGGCCCAGGCTTGCTTGGGCCTGGTCCTGCCCACCTCTAGAATAAACATACTCTCCCAACGCATGAAACCATGTGTAGTTATATACATAATTAACAATAAAATAAAACAATTTATTTTAAAATATTACAATTGAAGCGATTCGGGTATACCCGCCCTCCTGCTTCGGCGGGTTAGTCGGGTACCGCCCAGGCCCACCAGGATTTGGCATCCCCGTGATAAAAGCACGGCTTCGAAAGCGAGTAGGCAGCTGCAGCAATTCAAAGCCAACTTGAATTTGTAACCTTCAACAATTCACTCTCTTCTGATTGAATTCTCATAGATCTATTCTGATCTTCAGAGCACGCGATGGCTTCGACATCCGATCCATATAAGCAGTGAGTATTCCGAAACGCAATATTTTTTTTTTCTGTATTTATTGACTATTATTCATCATGCAAATTCAACTCATTTTTTTCTATTATATCTATGAAGGGAGGCTGTTATTAGGAAACAAAATAAAGGAGCTCCTATCAAGTTCTTGATTCCTCTTATATACGCTCCTATTCTTCCTTTAAGTAAGGTTAATTTTTGTTTTTTAAGATAATTTTGTTATGTTCATTGTATTGATTTTGTCAATAATTTTAATTTTTATGTGCATATTTGATTGTTTGTTTTAGTTCGAATCTCATTGAGGAGGAAGCCAGTTCTAAGGGACCGGTTGTTTACTGGTGTGTTGGTTGGTGCATTTGCTCATGGATTTTATCTGGTGTATCCTTTATTCTCTTCTATAGTCTGTGCGTTGTGCAATTTGATTTTTACCTTTTTTTTTATTGATTGAATTTTAATACATGAATTATTGTAGAACCATTGCATATACTTTTTATTGTGCTCATATTGTATATTGAAATGGGAGATTCGTGTTCCTTTTATGTGGTTTGACCCTTGCATATTTTTTATGTGACTTGATGTTGCATGTTTTGTTATTATTAAAAAGGTTTTCATCCATAATTTTTTTGTATTTTATCTAGCCTCTATGAAAATGTATATTGGTTGTTTAGATGGAAATATTTGCCCTTTCTGTTTTTCATGTGTTGCATTTGTAAAAATATTGTAAAATTGGATATTCGAAACATGTAATCCTCATTGAGTGTTGTTAAATGAGTTCATGTCTATGCTGTTTCTTTACATACTTGGTTTTTAGGACATGAGAATTTACGCTTGAATTTAAGAAATGATGGTTTAGTGTTTCACAGTATATGCTTTTTGAATAGAGTAGGTTTTTTGTAGCTTCGGAAAATTAGTAAGATCTTATCTATGAGCAATTGGCGGATACATGTCAATGAAGATTTAGTTTTAGTAACATCATTTGTTGTCAAGAGCAGGTACAGGAAGACAGTGAGGGTGGTTAGGGAATTTGTTTCTTTAAACTCATATCTCCTTTTCTTTTTTCTCTCTCTTTTTGTTCCTTTAAGAGATTTTTTTTTTTNCACCCTATAAATATGTTTTGATTGTGTAATTTCTTAAAGTTTGTAAATTATAAGTTTGGATCCTGCGTGACATTTTATATGCATGTTTTAGATATTATTATTATTATCCTTATACAGATTTTTTCTAAATACAACTCGTTCTCCAGACATGTATCCTCGGGATTCCCTTTGAGGGATATTCAGAGGATACCTGACTGGAGGGGGGTTTTACACCCTGACCTGCAAATCAACCAGTAATGCCAAACAATATATCCAACAGTTCACAATCAATGGTCACAACCAGAAAAGAAATAACTCTCTCTATATTGATATCAAAACAGAACAATGCATCCAGCGATAATACATCCAGAGGCCATGTTCTATCAGCAACCCAGTAAACCAATAACAACTGAAAATAATGCAAAGTACAATAAAGAAAACAATAAATGATAAGACTAAACTTCGAGGGTCAATCACCTCCCTTCCAAACCTTAACCTCCTCTCTGAATATCCTTTTTCTTTTCTCCATCTCCTTTTTATTCCCTCCTGATCCCACATTGAAAGGGAAAAGGGTGGGCATGTGGGTTATAAAGGCTTGGGCACCCTCCCTTGGCAAGCTGGTTTTCCAATGAGAGTTCTACCCAATCCCATGAAAGACCCATGGCCCAGCCCAAATTGTTGAGTTATTAGAGTGGGTTCCTATCAAGTGGTATCAGAGCACTAGGTTTTGGGTAATGGTCTTGACAAAGATGGATTCTAGAATGGATAATGCAGAGAGAGAGGTTACAAAGTTAGGAGTTGAAATGGGCACTATCCGAGAGTGTTTGGTTGAGTTACAGTCCTGGGTGCGAAGAAAGGATGAAGAAGAAGCTGGTAGAGCAGAGACGCGTTCATCGAAAAATGTTCGTTCTCACCAAGAAGAACATCCAAATGGAGCAAACGGGTTTGGCAACAATAGCCAAAGTCGCAGTGAAATGGGTGGACGAAAATTGGAGATGCCAATATTTTTCAGTAAAGCATTACTTCAACCTCAACGGAATATCTAAGGAAGGGAAATTGACAGCGACAGTTGTCTTTATAGAAGGTGAAGCCATAAATTGGTTCCAATGGACTGAATCCAGAACTTCGGCTAGTTCGTGGGCTATGTTTAAGCTTGCACTACTCTAGAGATTTAGTGGATCACAAGAGCTCAACCCGTATGAGCCTTTAATGGCAATGAAACAAACTGGTTTAGTCGTAGAGTTTTGTTGATAGTTTGAAGCAGTAGCTGCACTTGTGGTAGGGGAGAAGGAGGAAATGTTAGTAAACGGTCCCGAATACGCAGCGGAAACAAAAATTATGATATAACAGGATCGTTTACATGAGCCAAGATCAAGGGTATGATTTTACAATTTATATTAAATAAAAATCTGCATAAATATTCAACATGAGTTAAGAGAAACAAACGCACGTTGAAGGCTCCTCCAAATTTGTCGACGAACGTTTTGCTACCGATCCAAGTGTAGGATCGAACCTGCGTAGTCCACACGAAGACAATCTTAAAAGAACCAAAGAGGGATTTGCTAGATCCTCTTTGGCTTCAAGATTAAGAAGAAAANTAACATAAAGAATAAGCTTATTTAACCAGGTAATCCATAAAAGTATTAAAACTAAGATTGATATTGCCGTATTTTTCAAAACGTATTATTGACAATGCACCGTATTAAACCCGTATATACCCGTATCGTATTTTTTCCGTACCCGAATTTTATGGCCGAATTTTTATAAACGTATTTTTCTCCATTTACCGTATTATACCCGTAAAATTCCCGTACCGTTTTTTTGCCGTACCCGTATTTACTAACTAGGATCCTGCCGTAGCCCACAACTTTTCAAACCTTTCCCGATAATCTTGCACTGAACCCCTTTGTTGTAGGCGTGTTAACTCTCCAAAGAAATCCAAAAATTGGTTGGGACCATACCTAGAGTTTAGCCCATCTTTAAAGTCCTCCCGAGACGCCATTGTATTTTCCTGTTTTAGCAATTGATACCATAAATGGGCGTCTCCCACCAAGTGAAAGTAAGCAAGCGCAACTCAATCGTGGACTGGAATCTCATGAAGCTGAAAAAATTGTTCAGCTTTGAATAGCCAAAAAACGAGGTCACCTTTGCCTTCATAGCGTGGACAATAGATTTTTACCGTATTTGGCATATACGTCTTGGTTGATTGATTTCGATGATTCTCATTGGCATTTTGTCGAGCACTTGGTTTGCCCCTTCGTGCAACAAATCCTTCACTCTCATCTAGATTGTGCATTTGAGTAGTAGAGTTCAACTCATTTGTCTGCCTAGCAATCTATTCCACCCAAATATTGAGCTGGTTGATCGTCTCCATTATTGTCGTAAAAGATGTCCTTGCCCAACAATTGTTTCCATGGCCTTCTCGAGTTGTTCCACTAGTTGGTCCATTGCCAGGCTTTGATACCACTTTGGTACAAACGTGCTTGAAGAAGTTTTCTGTGCTCAACCTATTTTGAAATTAAATAGAGAAGAATCAATTCTTGCTCATTTGAGAGGGAGCTAGAAACCTCCAGAGTTCTAATAGAACTTTTATGCAAATAATCAAGTCCTTATTCCAATAGAATTCTAGGAAATATATAACAACTCATAGCCATATTTCCCTACAAAATAGCAAAACACGTTCAACAATTTAACAAACCAAAAATACAGTTCAATCCCAACTAAAGAATCCTAAATACGTGACTACAACTCACAACCATATTTCCTTACGAAATAGCAAAACACGTTCAGCAATTTAATAAACCAAAAATACAATTCAATCCCAACTAAAGAATCCTAAATATGTGACTGACTTATTCAACTAAAAACCCATTCAAAAATTGAACTTAACAACTATAGAATTCTATTGGAATGGGGACTTGATTATTTGCATAAAAGTTTTATTAGAACTCTGAAGGTTTTTAACTCCCTCAAATGAGCAAGAATTGCTTCTTCTCTGTTTAATTTCAAAATAAGTCGAGCAAAGAAAACTTCTTCAAGCACACCTGTACCAAAATTGATAGAAACCCACTCCCAAATTAATAAGAATTGGGCTGAGCAGTGAGTCTTTGATAAAAAAACTGGGTTGGGCAGTGGTCATTTTTGTGGGCTTGGGTAGAACTCTCATTGGTAAACGATTTGCTAAAGGAGGGTGCCCAAACCCTTATAAACCACATGCTCACACTTTTTCCCTCTCAATGTGAGATCTTAACATTTCACCACGCTTTCACAACTGATGTCCACGTCAACCTCTTTACCCCCGTCAGCCTCTTTACCCCTTGGGTGACTACATTGATCCGGGTTTGGGTAGAACTCTCATTGGTAAACCGGTTTGCCAAAGAAGGATGCCCAAACCCTTATAAACCACATGCCCACCCTTTTCCCCTCTCAATATGGTCGAAACCCTTATTAACCCACCCCTTTCCCCTCTCAATGTGGGATCCTAACATTTCACCACGCTTTCACAACCGACGTCCACGTCAGCCTCTTTACCCTCGTCAGCCTTTTTACCCCTTGGGTGACTACGCAAATCCCTTTTCCCTAGGGCCTCTATGCCCTTTCTTGGGGTAACAGCTTGGGCCCAAGGTCAGCCTGCCATGTAGGCGCTGTCACGTAGGCGCAAGATCATGCTCTAGTACTAATTGATAGAAACTCACTCTCAAATTTAGGGTGGCAGCCTAGGCCCAAGGTCAGCTTGCCACGTAGGTGTAGGATCATGCTCTAGTTTCAATTGACAGAAACCCACTCCCAAATTAATAAGAACTAGACTGGTAGGAATGACAATGTTCCCCGAAATTTTGGGGACTCGTCTTGCCCCGCCCCATAAGGAGTAAGGAAGCCCCAGTTTTTTTGGGGATAGGGGCGGGGGTCGAGGGCATTTTAATCCCTGTCCTTAGGGATGGGGCGGGGTAAGTGATACCTTTCCCCCGCCCCGCCTTGTATATAATATATAAAATTAAAAATTATATATACAGAACATGCTTTTCACTAATTCTCCTATATTTCACCTAATTACACAATTATCATACCTATATAAACCCATATTTTTCCAATTTCCCTCACCCTAAACAATTGAACAAGAACAAACCTTAACCCATATTTATGTAAAATTAACTATGTT